CTGGTGTACAAAGCTACACAGAGAAACCCTGTCTCGAAAAATGAATGGAAGAGAGAGAGAGAGATGGAGGGAGGGAGGGAGAAAATGGTTCTGTTCATCAGGTACGGAACATGGGTGGGAATCTCGGGTCTTTTGACTCCCATTGGCAATGTGAACAGCTAAGAGAAACCGCTATTGCATGTCAAAGATTAACAAACAGCACAGTCTGTCTTCCTGCCTTGACTTTTTAGTAGAAGTGGCTGCTAGTGAGGCATTTCTTCTGTGGCGCCTCCGTATAACCCAGTGTGCACACATGCTAAGGAGCTAAGGAGCGCTGTCTGATTCCCTCCTGGAAACCCTCTTGAGCGTTGGCTTCCCTCTGAGGAAATAAGTGATTTATAGGAAACACTATATTCTGTACTAAGTTAATGTGAAAGAATCCACGGGCCTCTTTGACAAGCCACTTCGAGACTAGCAGAGAGGACACAGGATTCCACTCATCCCGCACATGGAGAGGTCCTGCTGTACTTCCCCAACAGAGGAATGGTGAGTCCTCAAGCAACAATCCCTGGCTTTCTTCTTTGTCCCTCTCCTCCACAACCCAGCACCCACATCTGTCCCCCACCCACTTAGGTGTATTGCCTTCCCTTCCCACCCTCTCTCTCTTTCTCAGCCCACTTTCAAAATACCTGCAGTCTCGTATCACAGAGAGCAGGTGTAGCCAACTCCAAATTCCCCCAGGAAAGTCCAGGTAATATAGAGGAAAAAAATGTAAAGGAGAAGCAGCATTCCAATGTGGACCCCAAACCATCCTCACACCATCTGAGAATAACAAGGAAGGTTTGGAGAGCAGGAAGGGTCTGGGCAAAGAGTACATCTACTAGTTTTCTAGAAAGCACCCACTTTGTCGGCCTATTTAGCTAACCATCATACTTAGTATCCAAGACTAGCTCCTACTAGCTCCTATGGGCTGAATCACAATCAAGTCTCTAGACTCTTCAAGATTTGGACCTTGCAACTACCTCAAATTGGTCTTGGTGGCTCACATCTGTGGTCCCAGATACTTGGGAAGCTGAGGCAGGACAGCAGGAGGATAGTTCAGGGTCAGGTTGGGGAATATAGAGGAAATACAGTAGGGAAGACAATGGTTGTCTAGGGGATTGCAGAGTTTGCTCCATGTTGTGAGCAAAGAATTGAGCAGATTAAGGTAATAACAACTTTATACATTCAGGATGGACTAAAGATGGGCACTGACTTAGCTGAGTGTTTCATAGGGATGCTGGACGCTCCCTTATCCCCTATTGGTCCTATCTAGACATCTACCCAGTCCTGTGCCTTCCTCCAGTTTCTCCTCAAAGAGTCTTCTGGGAACAAGAGACTACCATCTAAGGGAGGCTGCCTTAGCTTTCCTTGCCTACTATGTTCCTCCGATCCTGCTTCAAAGCCATGTTACAAAATAAACAAGCAAAGCCCATCCCATTCTGCTGTCCTAAGAGGACTTGTTTGGGCCCACCTGGATTTTGCCATTGTCACCTGTACTGGCTTCAAATCGAGCTAGTCTGACTTCTAGACTTCTTTTTGAGTCATCACCGAAGATAGACAGATTTATCTCCAAAAATGCTTCTATCTTGTTGGTTTCTTGCTTAAAACTGTCACTAGCTCCTCACTGCTTACCAGATAAAACCCAAGTCAGGTTTCATTTCAATCTGCAGCTGCCTGCTGCTCCCCTCAGTCCAGGACTCTTTCCTAAATATATCCTGTTCTTGCATACCAGCTACAATCAGCATCTTTCCATCCGACTCTTCTCAATTCTAAAAACATTTTTTAAAACTTTATTTATTTATTATGTATACCGTATTCTGCCTGCATGTGTGCCTGCAGGCCAGAAGAGGGCACCAGATCCCGTTACAGAAGGTTGTGAACCACTATGTGGTTGCTGGGAATTAAACTCAGAACCTCTGGGAGAGCAGGCAGCGCTCTTAACCACTGAGCCATCTCTCCAGCCCCTAAAAACATTTTTATCATGACATTTTGCAACACTTACGGATTAATTTACATCTGTACTGGGCTATATGATAGCCAGATGTGGTGATTTAAATTAAGATGGGAGGGGGTGCTGGAGAAATGGCCAGGTTAGAAGAATGAACTACTCTTCCAGAGGACCGGAGTTCTGTTCCAGCACTCATGTCAGGCGGTTCACAATCGCCCTGAAAACCCAGTTCTGATGCCTCTCCTGAGCACCAACACACACATATAAATAAAACTAAAATTAAAAAGTTGAAAAAAAAACACAAAGATAGGGAAAATAAAGATAAAATGGAATTCTGGGATAGGATGCAAAAATTAAATTCCTTGGCCTCGAAGTGGTGGTGCAAGCTTTTAATCCTAGCACTTGGGAGGCAGAGACGGGCAGAGCTCTGTGAGTTCAAGGCCAGCCTGGTCTACAGAGTAAGTTCCAGGACAGCCAGGGGCACATAAAGGAACTTTGTCAAAACAAACAAAAAAGTAAAGAAAAAAATTCAGTTTGTTAACTGGCCTCATTTCTTGATCTCCATAGCCACATACGGCCAGTGGTTATTGTGTTGCATGTAGCCAGTATGAAACATTTCCATCATTGCAGAAAGTTTAAGATATGCTCTCCTCTGTGTGTGCACATCTCTAGGTTGAATCTGGTGAAACCATTAGACCTAACAATGGAAAATATATGGGTGAGAGGAATTTCTAAATAAAACTCAACAGGAGTGTTCAGTTCCTCATCATTATGCCACTGGGCTAGCATGACATGGTTTCTCGTGGTAAAGGAGAATCAGCAGTTGAAGGTCAACCCGTGTCCCCTGCCCCAGCAACTTATGAAGCTGATTAGGGTCACAGTTCTAATACACACATATTCTCTCTCCCCTCCCCCCACTCTGTTGTCTGAGATAGGATCTCTCTATATAGTCCTGGATACCATCCCCGAACTCACTATATACATCAGGCTGGACTCAAGCAAGAATTCTGCTCCTGCCGTCACAGTATTGGGATTGGAGCATGTTCCACCTCACCCAGACTACACATACTTCTTCTTCTTCTTCTCTCTCTCTCTCTCTCTCTCTCTCTCTCTCTCTCTCTCTCTCTCTCTCTCTCTCTCTCCTGCCCCCACTCTGTTGTCTGAGATAGGATTCCACTGTGTGGTCCTGGAGCTTACTCTACCGAACAGCTGGCCTCAAACTCAGAGATCCTTCTGCCTTTGTCTCTTCAGTACTGGGATTAAAGAGGAGTACTACCAGCACCAACAGCACCAGCTCCAACGGCAGCTGGCTCACAGTATTTTTATATATATACACAAACAGAACCCTCATACATATAGAATAGAAATTAAAATGCATAGCTCTGAGATGCATATTGAGATAATTAAGAGGTGACATGTGACTGGGATTTGTATCAAGTAGTCTGGGTAGGAGAAAAAGAGGGAGCATGTTAGGGTGAGGTGGATCCAACAGGCCTGGACCTGTGGTGATGGCTACTGGGAGCGGGGTGGCTGGTTGGGATAACACATGATGGCTTTTTGGTTCAGTTCTGTTCTGCATGGGGTTGTGTGTGGTGTAGGAATGTGTATGTCTGTTTTGGTGTGCATGTGCATGTGTACACCAGAGATCAGTATAAGAGGAGGGGTCTTCCGTTACTGCTGTAACATTTGGTGGCACCAGGGACCCTCCTGTCTCTGCCTCCTTGGCAGTAGGAGTACAGAGCCACACCACAAGCTCTTTACAAGGGTTCTGGGGATCCAAACTTGGGTCCTCATGCCCACTGAGTCACCTCTCTAGCCACTGTTTTGTATCTTTTGTTCCCCACTGAAAACAAAAATTCTGATACCATTGGCTCATGCATTCCAGGAGCTCCCTCATGATTTTTCTCTCGATGTTACTTGGGACTGAACCTAGTTTCACTGATATATAGTGCTTTATCACTGAGCTGTATCTTCAGCCTTGTTTCTGCTTTAAGAAATTAAAGTTTTATTTTTTAAAGATTTTTTATGTGTAAGAATTTTTTGCCTACATGTATGCATGCGTATCCTGTATGTGCAGTGTCCTTGGCAGTCACAGAAGGGTGTTAGATCCCCTGAAACCTGAGTTACAGACAGTTGTGAACCAGTGTGTGGCTGCTGGGAACTGAAAACAGGTCCTCTGCAAAAGCAGTCAGCGCTCTTAAGCAATGATCCATCACTCTAGTCCCTAAATTTTTAATTTATTATTGTGTGTGATGCGGCTGGGCAGGTGGGTGGAGCAGGCACAAGACATGGTACATGTGTGGAGCTCAAAGGACAGCTTGTAGGAGTTGGCTCTCTTTTTATCCACGCTGAGTCCCTGAGGTCAAGATCAAGCTGTCAGGCTTGGTGGTGGGTACCTACACCAGGCTTGCCATTTCACCACCTCCAGCCTCAGTCTGCTGAGTAGTTGGGATTATATATAGGCTTGTGCCCATAGGCCTATTCTGAAGTTTCCTTACCTCTGCATTCTCCTGCTATATCCTGGCCCTGTTCAACTTGACCATTCTCAGGTCAAAGCCTAGGTCAAAGGCAGAAATGTGATATTTTTAAAGAGGGTATGACCGGTAGCTTTGGTGTTTTGGAGCCTGAAGCTGAGACAAATTTATAACCTCATCTAGTTCTATTTCATACCACACATTAGTGAGCAATCTCAAGGAGGGCAGACTCTCTGTTCCAGGGACAGGGATTGGCTTGTGGGCCCTCCTGCTCTATACCTGAGCACAGGGAGGCATTTAGACACTGAGTAACCTGTGTTCTCTCTACATGGCACACTCAAGGCAGTGTGGTGTTTGCAGACTTAGGAATTCCATGCATTTGTCAGGACTGGGGCTGCCTGTCTCAGGCAGCTAGATCTCCAGTTCACTCTTGTCATCATTCCTTATCAATGGGTGTTTGAGGACAAAAACTTTACTAGACAGGTACTTTCCAGGGGCCAAACCAGTGTGTCCACTCCCCAGCCACTAACATCCCAAACACAAAGTCCACGCTCACAGCAATGTAAAACCATTTAATTCTAAATCAAATCACTTTCACAACAGTGAAAATCAGTGCTGGTCAAGGTATGCTGCCTTACACATTCCCATTTTCTGACTGTCCTTGTCCATGGGGGTGGAGGAAAGGTGGAGGCTACGGCTGCCCTGGCCATAGGACGAGTGACGAGCCTAAAGGGGGACAGCCTACAAAGGAGAGGGGACTCCCAAGCTGGCTCTCCTGCCTCGGCTGCTGGCAGGCGTGCAGCCCTGTAACGTTCACAACGGGTACGCGGCCGTCACAGCTTTGCTGCCGCCATGCTCCTGGGATGCCTTTGCGAGCACACACCCGGGCCCCTTCCATCTCGCCAGATCCAAAGGCTCGGCCCCACTACTCAGAACTCTTCTTTCAGTTCTTTTGTGTCCGTTGTTTAGGTTTTCCCTCTCTACTTTAGGCTGCACTACACTGAGGGATGGAGCCTACCAACTCTCTCTAAAGCAGAGACACTCCGGGGGCCCTGCGACTGGGGATTTCCATGTCATAAAGGATATTTAAAAACTGTCAGCACACTAAAGTTGGTGGCTTACTCTTACCAGCTGGATTTGCCAAACCACCCTCCTACTCAATACTTCATACTGTATCAATTCAATACTGGCATTGGCAGGTGGGGACCATGCAGTGAGGAGGAGGGCTCTCTCACCATCCTCAAGGTCTAGGGTTCCATAGATTTATGCAGAGCTGCATCTAGAAAAATCAGCAGGCAAGGCAAGAACCTAGTTTCTCGTTATTGCTGGGGCAGTGGGTGCTGGAGAAGTGAACAAAAAAATCTAGCAGAAGTTCATCTTGCTGCCCTGCTGTGGTCTCCAGGAGGAGACATTTCTAAGATGAAGCCTCATAGGCAGAGCAAGAATCATCTGAGCAGGTGAATGAATCATCCTCCTGTCTGGCACCACTCCTCCACAATCAGGTTCAGAGGAAGCAGCTTATGAATTTCAACAACAAATCAATATGCGTAAAGAATAAGGAAGGAAAACCACACTTCATCACTGTGGTCCTTTGCTTTACATATCACCAGGGGTTGCTTGCTCAGGAGCCTCATGTCTCCTTGGGTTCAGCACACATTCAAGGAGTTTTCAGGTAAATCCATCACGCTATACCAACATCATGACCACAAGTGGAATGACAGTCCTGGACTCTTCTAAGAAGCACAATGGTTTCTGAGGATGGTAGTTCTATGTGTAGTGGGCTGACCTGAGAAAGCCTCCAGTTTCTCTGGGCAAGTTCTGAGAGAGGGTTATTCAGGCTTCTACAGCCTCGGGGCAGGGCTCCTTGCTCTGCTGTCCTGCATCAAAGCTCTGAAACAGAGTGGATGGTTCAAATGCAGCAGTGGTCTACAGGAGAAAGCTGATGGGAATTCTGAGCCAAGTGACACCAGGGACAAATGGCCAGGAAACCAGGAGGTCAAGCTGCTTTCTAGGGTCAAGACCCTAGAGGAGGCCCAAAGCCAATCAAAGACCAGAATCTCACAAGGTCACACAGCATCTTCAGCTTCTGCTGCTGCAATTATGATCTCCTTTGCTGAGGAAGGAGAGGACAGGAAGGCAGACAGCACAGCACTGGGATCTGGAAGGGAATCTCTCAGTATAGCGAGTGGAGGTCATTTACCAGGGTATTTAAAAAAGATGAAAGTAAGTTTCCATAAATACCATTTGGTTCATCCCTTCATTTTTGTAATATAAAGTTCTGGTGAAAGAAACTGTTTCTCTCTTCCCCGTGTAGAGCTGGGACCTGCTGAGAAGGCTGCAACAGGGCTTCAAATTGTCACCCATGAGAGGTGAGTCATCACAAGACCTGAGGTTACAGAGGGCGTTTACAGCAGCGGTGAAACTGGGGATTCCTTGCCAACTGGTTTTGAGTTCAAAGCTCTAATGGAGAAGCAAGACTCCTTGATGTGTTTCTGACCCTTGATTCCAGGGGTCAGGATTAAACAAGTCCAACACCAGAAGCAGGTGTGGCATATCACCAGTCCAGAGGTGCTGCTGTAGATGCAACAGGGGTCCTGTATTAGGCGATCAGGAGCCAGAACATGATCACCAGGGCTACAAACAGGAAGAGGCGAGACAGGAACTGCTCATCCACGTACTGGGGTGTCCCAGGGACAGCTAGAGAGACAAGAGGAAGAGACTTTGTCAGAAGGCTGTGTGCATACTGCCCACTGGGACCCGAACTCTTTATTTCCCTTTAAAAACAGAATCCTGCAATAAAAAGACTACCAAACTTCAATAGTAACCAAAACAAAAATAAGTGAACTACTACAATGAGGCCTTGCTCTCCAGTGATCTCAAAAGAGCTGTCCTGTACATGCATGTGAGCCAGCAGACTACTAGGAGCCCCGCAGGGCAGAGACCCTCTTGCCTGTCTTACCTATGCTGCCCATGCATGGTAACACTTGGTAGGCCTCATCTAAAAAGCAGCAGCAGGAGCAAAGCATGGGCCTTTTGAGACCATAAGGGCTCACACATGACCACTGCCACTCTTCTGCCTCTTTGCACACTATTCCAGAGGGCTCTCTGCCTGTCTGTGTGCCTGCTTTTTCCAGAAGAGAACCAGGGCCCAGAAATCATATGGTAAGGTAGAAGTGGACTGAGTGAAAACCTCTGCTCGTTAAGAGTTCTCTGCTCAGACTGTAGAGGAAGGAAACTGACAGGATCTACATCCAGGCTGTGCAAACTGTACCAAACATGACAAAGAAAAACTGTGATCCCTGTCTGGGAATGAACTGAGGGTGAGCCGGTCTGAATGCTGGAACAGGCTAGAAAGCATCAAGTTAGTCGGAAGTTCCTGTTGCCGCTACAGGGATCTGTCTTTCCTTTACAGCAAATCACATCCTGCCCTTTGGGTTCTCCTTCCTCGGAGAAAACAATGTGTGAACAGCAGAGAGACATTGCAGGCAGAAAGAGAGAGCCTTTTCTGGCCCCCTCCGACCTCCTTCCACAGGTCACTTCCGCCCATGGCTCCACCCCCCAATGGGCGTGGTCAGTGCTACAGAAGGACTATCTTACTACAATGCACAGGCTATGACTTGGAATCATTACTGAGAATTTTACCTATAAAGCAACTAACAGCACAGGTACTTGGAGTGCGGATGATGAGCCCCTCAGTTCATTCGTAATATAACATAAAGCATCCCAGTAATATAACATCCCGTAATATAACATAACACATGGCAAGTGCTCAGAGTCGCTGGATGGTGTGGTAATCTGCAAAGAATTTAAGGGAGTTTGCAAAGTCTGATATCCATGTACTGACAATTATCTGTAACTTCTACACTGCTGAATTCCAAGGAGTTCTGAAGCAGGATTATGTTTCTGATGGTTTTTTTTTTTTTTAAGAAATGGGATTTACCTGGAGGAGGCCGACCATCATTTATGTTAAATGCTGTGGCAAATATCCCAAATGGAAATGCTCCAATTCCAAAGGACATCTGAAAGCCACCATCTCCAAATCCAAATCCTTGAAATCCCTGTGGAGAGGAGAAGCAACTAAGAAAAATAGGCAGATTTATCGCACATTTCTCAAACAATGTCTTACATCATAGCGTGTGGCACCCATGTTTCTTCTTGGGCCTCTGCCATAAACTAGGGCCTCAGCTCTTCCTCCCATCCAGGCTCCCGAGCATAGGAGCATTAGCGGCACCTCCTCCCAGGGTTCCATATTAGCCAGGAAAATTTCCAACATGATATTCATAATACACTACTGGCAATTAGTGCCATACCCAAATGCAAAGGAACAGCGCAAACTATATACTATAAGCAATAACAAAAAAGATGGAACTTCGACTGGTCAATAATATCAGTCAAACAAAATCTTGTAAAATGTCTCCAAGGACCCTGGTGCTCATTTATGCAACAAGGCAGACTTAAAGGGTCAAACTTCTTAAACACCCATAGATGACAATATGAGTATGTTGTCAAGATATGGGTTAGCATTCCCCTAAAACCTTCAGATGCTGTGGATGTAGCTGAGGTCACCAAGTCCTGGATTTAATCAAAGCACTGCATAAGTCTGGCATGGTGGCACACACCTATCATCACAGCACTCACAAAGTAAACACAGGAGGATCAGAAATTCCAGGTCATCCTCAGCTACATATTGACTTCAAAGCCGGATCTTGCCTTAAAAAAGTTATTTTAAGCTAAGTGGTGGTAGCTGGATAATTCCTTATCAGCATGGTCTATGTAACAAGACTATTCCCCCCAAAACAGAAACAAAACACAAAATAAAGCAAACTACATACACAGAAAATTTCCATGTCGCATAAAAATTTAAATATTTAGAAAAATTTTTAATTTTTTTCTGATCAACATAGTGACTTTGGAGGCTGTCCTGAAACTACCTCTTGTAGACCAGGCTGGTCTAGAACTCAGAGAGATCCGCCTGCCTCTGCCTCCTGAGTGCTGGGATTAAAGGCATGTGCCACTACTGCCAGGCTAATATACATTTTTAACTGATTTTCTGAGACAGTTTCATATTCTCAGACTGGCCCTGAACTCACTAAGTAGCTGCAGTGGTATGAATGAGAATGGCCCCTATAGATTCATATTTGAATGGTTTGGTCCCTAGTTGGTGGAACTGTTTGTCAAGGATTAGGAGGTGTGGCCTTGTTAGAAGAGATGTGTTACTGGGGCTGGGCTTTGAGGTTTCAAAAGACTGAGGCATTTCCAGGCAGCTCTCTGCTTCCTGCTTATAAATAAGGATGTTAAACTCACAGGTACTGCTCCAACACAATGCTTGACTGACTGCTACTATGCTCCTGGCCATGATCTACATTCCCAGCCTCCATTTATATTTTTAACAAGAAACTGTTGTTGGGAAAAAAAAAAGACTAATATTTCATTTAAATGCAAATGTTTTGAGCCAATAATTCTAAGAATTTATCATAATAAAATAATTGTGGTTCTACAAAAAAACTTTGTAATTTACCTGAGTATGTTTAAGACAGCAGATAGTAGGTAAGTGTCCCATAATATAATACATGCTATTGCATTAGGTCTATACAACTGAGCATCAGCTGTTAAATGTTGTGACTACAGGTCTCAGTAACATTTTAAATTGCACTGCTGAAATTCCAATTCTCATGAGTGCATTCCATGAGGGCAGAGACCATTTTCTAAGTTTGTTGATAAGTTACCACTGCCAAAATAGTGACCAGAGCACATTAAGGAACCTAGTATCTGTACAATAGATAAAATTTAAAAAATTACAAAATAAGAACCACATATTATAAAAACAAAAACAAAACCCAAAAAACAGGAGGCTGGAGAGATGGCTCAGTGGTTTTACAGCACTGACTGTCCTTCTAGAGGTCCTGGGTTTGAATCCCAGCACCCACATGGTAGCTCAGAACTGACTGTAATTCCAGTTCCAGATGATCTGGAATCCTCACACAGATGTACTTGCAGGCAAAACACCTGCACATAAAATAAGTAAGCCAGGCATGGTGACTTATGTCTATAACAACAGTACTAGGAGACTGAGGCAGGAAGCTCATTCATTCCAGGATCAGTCTGGGCTACACAGTGGAAGTCTATCTAAAAAATCCAAGAAATCAGGCTGGTAAGACAATCAGGTGGTAAAGGGGAATACCATGAAGACTGATAACTATCTCCAGAGCCCATGATGGAAGGAGGGGATCAACTCCCCAAAGCTGTCCTCTCACCTCTATAAATATGCCCCCATATACACACAACAATAATAAAAGTAAAAGTTAAATTTAATAATCTAAGAATATGTAGATGTACCATCAATAAACATACATATATCAATCAACAAACATATACATGCACACACACATGCATGCACACACATATAGCATACATACACACAGTAAAGGAAGATGAGAAAATGGGCCCAAATGCTCCCAGTGGTTATCTCTGGATGAGTGGTCTAGGATTTCTCCCTGCTTGCCTCCTTTCTGTACTTTATAAATCTTCCTTTAGAATTTTCCTCCTTGTTTTAGAACAAGGAAAAAAACTGCAAAGCCAATAGGAAAGTTTTAAAAGTCACAGGCACACTTCTAGAAGCTTCTCCTAGAATGTTCCTCACCCCTCTATTTTCGGGCTCCGGCCTCTGGCCTTGAGGACGAGGAGGAGTCTTCTCTCTGAAAAGAAATTGTACAAAGTAAGGCCATTACAAACTATTGTGAGTTGTTCTCTATGAGGACTAACCAACAGGGTTTGGGCCATTTTCCTATTCAACACATAAAATTGCTGGGCTAGGCAGTAGTAGTGCACACCTGTAATCCCAGTACTCAGTAGACAGAGGCAGGGGATCTTCTGAGTTTGGGGCCAGCCTGGTCTATAGAGAAACGGCCAGAGCTACACGGAGAAACCGTTTCAAAAAACCAACCAACCAACCAACCAAACAAACAAACAAAAAACTCGATGGCTTAATCAAGTGCTGGTTTAACTCCACTCTACTTCAAACCAGGAAAATCAGCTTGTTCTGAGAAAGCCATCAGATTGCACAGCCTATCCTTGCAACAGAGATCTTGACTCGGGTTGTCTTCCTTGGGACTGCTTGATATGAGCTCAATGGTGCTAGAGATCCCAAGCCAGACTAAAACAAGGGATGGATTGTCAGCTGAGAGGACTAGGGTTCGAGGTCTCTCTTATCTCCCCCTATTAACTTCAGTTTGGCTTGCTGGGTTAGTACCTCATGCTATCTTTTACTTTTGCCTCTAGTCCTCAGACCCTCCTACCACTCATCTAAATAGCACTGGGTAGGATGCAACCAATACTACGGTGGTGACAGATCCCACTAGAGTGGTGATAATTTCTGGAAAGGCACAATCAATCACAATATAGGGTGGTGTGTGTGATGGAAACAGGTGAGGACAATTCATATGGAGATCACTTCAAGGAGGGAACTTTAAGGTTTTCATAAAATATGGGCAGGAATCAAGAAAAGGCTGCAGGATATAGGGTGGCAGTTACAGTAGAACCAGGGATAGTAGAAGACACAGAGCAAAAACAAGTGTGACAAATTTGATAGAACAAACTTTAAGAGAAGTTCAGTATGTCTAATAGATGTGGAGTTGGGTGAAATGTTAGAAAAATTAAGGTATTCTTCTGGAAAGGTACAGATGCCAGACCAAGAGGGCTACCTACATTTCTGAAATCCCAACCCCCAAAAGCCATCCAGACTTCCTGGTCCCTGTCTCCCTAGAGTTACATTCACTGGTGCTACAACCCCATTAGGCACACTCCTGCCTCCCAGTGTTTCACAACACTCTGCACACTTGTTTTATGATGTCCTGAACACTGCAGGGTACCAGGCAACTGGTTGCCCGCTGGCAGATGACACTAAGCAGCTATCTAACACAGGCCAGCACATGGCAGCTTGGCTCCTCTCCTCTCTCAAGCCCCACTCTTCTCAGGCGACTCTCATCTTGACCAAATGCCTCAAAATCAAGCAGCCAAGAGTTAGAGTTAAATGGATGAGAATCCATATCCAAGTGGGAAGTGGGTATCAGATACAGTCAAGGCTTTACCTGGGATCCTGTTGCCCGGTGCTGCCCCTGCCATAGAGTGGGATGACCTTGTCCCGGCTGATTCCAGCTTTGCAAACTGGACACACTTGTCTGTTAGGTCTGGTCTCCAACCACTGCAGGTGAGAGAAAAACACAATGGTCCAAAGCTGCCCCACCTTCGGTGTGTGAATGTGGAGTCAGAGAATTTAAATGGGAAAGGGCAGCTGGAGTAGCCTGAGTTGGGAATCTTTAGGAACCAGACAGAGTCTGATCTCTGTTCCTAGCATCGAAAAATATTTACTAGGGATAAAAACCAAAATTGCCTTTAAGTATCAATAATGAAACAAGCTCTTGTCTGAAACTTTCTGGCACTGTGAGCAGTACAGAAGAAGGTGCAAACCTGAGGCCTCCCGGGAGGCTCCTGGGATGAACAGAACTTACATTCAGACTCAATCTTATCTCATTTTTCTTAAAAAAAAAAAAAAAAAAAAAACCTTATTTTTAATTATGTATGTGTCAGTGGAGGGTGGGAACATGTGAAAACAAATGTGAGCATGCTCTGAGAGATCTGAAGCTGGAATTACAGGTAGTTGTGAATATGGGTACTAGGAACTGCACTTGGGCCCCCTGGAAGAGCAATATGTGCTCTTAATTGCTGAGGCATCTCTCCATCTCCAATTTCTCATCTTTACAGCATATCCCCAATGGTGTAACCTGACATCAGCACAGGGATAGATTTTGCTTATTATCTAAACTTTATTAATGTTTTATATTAAAACATTTTAAAATTCTTTTTAAACTCAATTTTTATTTTATGTTTATTGTTTTGCTTGCATGTGTGTCTGTGTGAAGGTGTCAGGAGCCCTGGAACTGGAGTACAGATAGGAGTAAGCTACCATGTGGGTGCTGGGAAATTGAAGAGCAGCCAGTTTCTTATAAATGAGCAAAAGATTACTTTAAAAATGTTATAGTTATATTTTTTTCCTTTTCTTTTTGAGGCAGTCCCATGTATTTGAATTCTTAATCATCATGCTTCCTAAGTACTGGGATTATAGGAGTATGTCACCACACCTAACTTGTGACCTCTTTCTGGGCAGTGGATGTTTTCTTATGTATATTTTCTCAGCCTTTATTTATTTTTAGCACTAGGGATTAAACTCAGAGCCTTGAACATAATAAGTATACACACTATGGATGAACTATGCTCCAACCCTTCAGTATTATTTTAGGACATAAACTGCATCTCTAGACATGAAGAGATAAAGCTCATTATATGAGTATGAGCCAAAGACGCAGGGATACAAGAATAGCAGCATCTCTTGATTTTATATCCTACATTTCCCACCTGTCTATGGCTCCAAAACTTAAGTTACATGATCTCTCAGCACTCACACTAACATGTTCTGCTATTCTTCCAGGTTCAACTGGGTCTGAATGCTCATCCCTAGCTCCCTCTTCTTTCTACTATGAGGACACGAAGCAGTTTAGTGTCTGTCCACCTTCTACATCCCTCTCACCACCCAGAAGTGTGCTGTACTTAGGACACCATGGAGATGGTTACCTGGTTGTGACTGATCATAATCAGTTGCTAATGCCAAGCACAGTTCTTGTGAACACTAACTGTTTCCATAATAAATTAAAACAAGGAAGACAGACTTTCCTCTTCTGCAAAAGCTATCTGTTGTCACCAAAAAAGTTTACTTCTTCTGTTCTTAATGATTTCAAGATCTTTTAGAAAGAGAGGTGTACTGATATGAAAGGAGCTAGAAGTTATCTTTTATAAATATAAAAGCTCAGAAACAAAAAATGATCTAACAGCTGAGGATGTTAGCAGATCAACTGCTTAACATAAGACCGCATGAAGTGGACACTGTGGTGCAAGCCTGTGACTCCAGCACTTTGGGGCAGGAGAATTTCAGTTATCCTCAACAGAAAACAAAACAAAGGCCTTAATATTATCAAACTCAACTCATTTGCAAAGAGTCACTGAGACACAGAAAGTGGTGGTCAGCCAAGGCCTTAATGGCTAGTCTGTTGTTGGCAAAATCAGGAACAACTCAGGAATGAAATGACTTCCTATTATACCAAATATCTGTCAGTGGGCAGGTATATAAAAAGGGCAACTGAGCCCAGAAGCAAGGGAGATTGCAGCTTCTGACAGTAGTCCCTTGAGATGAGGGATGCCTTGTGCAATTCTAGCTGATGAAAGACAAAGTAAAATGAAGTACATCTTACCTGATGCAAACACGGCCAACTACCAGAGTCCCCAGGGCGGCCAATCATCAGCAAGGAAGTAAAAGAAGGAGAAAAATGCTTTCATTAGCAGAGATACTCCATGAGTAGGGAAGGACATCAGAATGGGGTGACTGGGGTGCTATAACCCCAGTGAGGCTTCACAGGGATCACTGGCATCACAGATAGGGAAGGGGGGGGGGGGAGGAACAGGAGTTCAAGATCATCCTCAACCACACAGTGGGAAGGGACACAGTCTAGGCTACAGGAGAACCTGTCTTAGAGCAACAAAATGAAAAGAACAAAACAGGTAAGAAAAGGCTAAACCCACAGGGGGGAAAAATGAGAGAGTAAAGACTCCAGTCTCCATCCTAAACCCTACTACAAAAGCAGACTCCCATGGCCCAGACCACCCAGGCACAACTTATCCACAGGTTAGTCTTGGAGAGATTACAGGCCCTGAAGGAATCCAACAAAAGTCAGGTATTCTCTACAGGAAAAGTCACCACTGTCATGTACCACATGATAATATGAACACACACATACACTCGAAATTTGCATCAATGTCAGCAGGTTCACAGCCTCCTCGGACTCATAAGCAATAATGAATTCTCTGTTATTTCATATCAGGGCCATGGCAGGAAGTGGTTTAAAAGTCCAGGCCTACTTTAAACATCTTTGTAATGGAAAGGATAGAGAAGCTACTCGGAAAAGAGGGTTACCTCCATCTTATAGAGCTGCTACCCAACACTGCTTTTCTTTCTTTCTTTCTTTTTAAAAAATTATTTCTTTATTTAAATTCAGGGTCTTACCACATAGCCCAGACTGGCTTCAGACTCATTATCCTCTGCTTTGACTTCAGGGCACTAGATTTATTTTATTTATTCATTTTCATGTGTATGAGTATTTGCGCTTACATGCATGTTATGGACCACATGTGTATACTAGGTGCCCACAGAAGTCATAGGCTGTTGGATTCCCCTGAAAATGAAGTAACAGATGGTGGTGAGCCACCATGTGGGTTCTGAGAATCAAAATTGAGTCCTCTGGAAGAGCACCTAGTGCCCTTAACCACTGAGTCACCCCCTCAGCTCCCTTTAGGGTGTTAGGATTACAGATATGTACCATACCCCTGATTCCAGTCTCTGTCTCTTTTTGGGAAGGGGCAGTTTTGAGACGGGGTTTCCCTGTATTGCTTTGGAGCTCGTCCTAGAATTCACTCTGTAGACCAGGCTGGCTTGAACTCACAGAGATCTGCCTGCCTCTGCTTCCTGAGTGCTGGGATTAAAGGCGTGCGCCACCATTGCGCAGCTCAGTGTCTCACTTTTTAAAGGAGGAAGCCAAGGAAAAGAACATGTAATTTACATCAGGATAAAAACTCTCTCCTGCCTTTTCAATACACAGCACCGCCTAAAAAACATGACATAATATTGAGGGAAAATTCCTGATTTTTAGTATTTCTTTCTTTCACAGTAATAAAGTTAGTCTCTCACACATCACGTTCCTTTTCTAGATGAATAAAACTGTGGCCTAAGAAGACAATGCTTCTCTCAATTCCTGAATGAGGCCAGATTCACAAACAAATGCCGTTTCCTAGCTATAAGAGCTGCCTCATCTCTGAATCCATACCCTCTGTAGAGGGCACCTCAAATCACAACAGCACTGTCTTAGAGCTCCCTTAAATATTATAGGGAGTAGTGTAGGTAAGTGACCTTCAGGGCAAAGGCTAGGGTTATACTAAAGGCAGATTCCAGAGGCAGGGGCAAAGGAGTGCTAGAATTAAAGGTCAGTCTGGTCTATATAATGACCCTGTCTCAAACACAAACACTGAACAGAACCATGTATGAAGCAACTACTGTGTGTCAAGAGAGTGGCCGAGTTGGTTTTTATTTTTTTTCTTGTCATTGGATGGTCACCAGGAGACATAACCATTACAGAAAAGAGGGAAGTGGTGGGCAGAGAAGAAACAGATTTGCCTAAAGACACTGCAGTCTGGACGAATCTGCTTCATCTTCAAATATGTCCTTTCTGATGGTATTCTGCCTCTTATTTTGGTCTATCTATACAAAACAAAGCAAAAATCTCAAAAACAATAAAGAATAACCTCTGCTCTATTCTAATTCACCAATACATTTACCTTTTATATTGCTGAGAATTTAAACTCCCCCAAATATTGCTTTCTTCACCATATTCCTGCACAAAAATATTAATCAGCCCCATATCCCCTACGTTTGATAATGTGGTTCACCCCTCCACAACCACTCTTGTTTCCTAACAAACCCAATCCCCACCCAGGGTTCTGCTGAGAGAAGGGCAATAGCCTCAGGGACTCAGACATGGACAGGACACATGTCTATCCCTAGGGATCACACCCCTCATCTTATTCGCCATTATTTCCCCTCTACTTTGAAGATTTCTTCCTACCCTTCAAAGTTTAGCTCAACATCTCAATAAAACAAAACAAAACAAACAACAACAACAAAAACTACTGCTCAACATTCACCTAAGTTCTCAGAGACAGCAGGGACTTCCATAAGCAATGAGGCTAAAAGGACACTGACCTCGCTGCTTCATTTCACAACACACACATTAAACATAGAACAATTACTTATAATCATTGCTAGCACACATGCTATGTGCTTTTTTGACATTTACTATTTTGGGCTCACTCACTTCATACTCATAAATGAGCCTGTAAACGAGGCAGAGTGCATGCAGGCACCCTGTCTAAGGTCATCCAGTAGGGAGTGGCAGAGTCAGGACTGAAGAGGGGGAGGCTGGCTGCACAACTCTTGCTCAAAACCACTGTGCAACACTGTCTGTGGGCTCAGCACAGCGAGCGGCAGTAATGCTCACTAAGTGGGGTTACTCCTGGAGAGACAGGAAGACAACTAGGACGGGAACAGGATTTGCCCACCCTGACCTTCAGCAGTAGAGCTGTGATGGAGGCTGAGGCTTCTTGTCCCTTGGGTCTGAGTGTATGAGGACTCAGTGTGAGTGAGACGTCTATCTGCCCAGGGCCATGGCTGTCAGACTGGGTAGGCTGTCTACAGAGATGGCAGGAGGGGTACTCACCAGAAGAGGTGGCCACACAGGCTGATGACAGCATCCTTGGCAGTGTCCAGGCATATGTTGCACTCAAAGGTACTGTCCTGCCCTCCACTTTCACCAGGGCCATTGCTGCTGCCACTAGGCCCACCTGCACTGGAATTCTCGGTGGACGTAGAGGCCGAGGGCCCCTTACTCGCCATTATTGACTGTCAGCAAAGATTTCAGTGAAGATTCTCAAGACAATCCTGGAAGGCAGAAAGCACTTGATTGTTCCTTGCTGCAGCCTACTTCCCACAACGTCCGGGCCAGCACCTCCATCTTTTCTCAGCTCCAAACAATAATCGTGACTGAATTTGAGAGCAGGTCTCCCAGAGGGCTGCAGGGACAGTAGTTGTGGGGCTATGCGCTTCTCACGAGTTACTCATGAACATGGCCCAAAACACACCTCATAAAACAAAACACAAACTGTAATACTGAGCAGCCTCTGGAAGGTTCTCAACAAAGCCCCCACCCCCATCTTTATTTATATTTTCCTCTATTAACCACCCCAGTCGATAAATATATGCTCCAATAAATATTAAGTTGAACTGTCAAGCTACTTTTAATTTTGGACAACTTTTATGTTGATCAGAACAGACTCCACTCAAGACTATAATTGGTATATAACAGCATAAAGAAATTCCTGTAACTGTGAAAGATTAGGAAGCTTGGAGGAGCCAGGTGATGATTTTTGACACTTTCTGCCAGATGTAATACCACTTACCTTATTTTGTCTAAATTTATCAACACACTTAAAGGGGAAGTTATGTCAGTGAAGGTAAAGTTGTCTTTCCCACACCACCCAAGGTCATCTGGCACACTCATGCTCTGGGCAATCCTGATCACTTCAGGGAACATCAGACTGAGTTATCTGGCTACCTGACTAGCCGGGGTTTGAGACCAGGATTCATGGCACACTATTTGTTTGCAAACCATCACATCACCATAGACAAAGCTGGTCACTAATAGCCCGGGGAAACTTATCACTGTTGACTACCAAGTCCAAATCAAAGAAAGTAGGGAAAGACAAATGAGACCCACACAAAGGATACCCGGGGGGTGGGGTGGGGGGGGTGGGGGGGGGCTCTGGTTCTGTCAGGAGCCTCATCCGGCTGCCCTCATTATCTCATAAATTAGAAGCCGGTGATTACCACAGTCAGAGAACTGAAACTTAGACTCAGCCCAGCCCTGCAGCTCCCTAGGATCCACACTTTTTCCTGCTGTGCTTTTCTCATCTGTAAAACGAGGACTCACCACGGGGTACTTGAAGACCACCTTGATTTCAGCTTCCAAAGTTAAGAAAAGATGAAATTCCAAAAGCTGGTTTTCTCAGAGCAAGAAACCTTCTACTTCTTCACAGGGCAGACTTAGAGCTTGGGGCTCAGGAATCTCTCACTACAACAGCAGCTTAGCGACTTGAGCAGAGAGAGAGGCCGGCTCGCCAATACTTTTTCACTCAGTTACATCATTTTACATGATGTCCCAGAAGGGCAGCTGCCTTCTGACGGCAGCAGTCTCGCTAGCCTCAGTTCCAAGACCTTCTCCATGGTGGAACACTTCCTCCCTTCTATAACTGTGTGTGTGGGGGGGTGGGGGGGAATAAATGCAGGCCTTCACACATGCTAGTGAAACACTAAGCACTCCACCACTGAGCCATAAACATCCCCAAGCCCCAGGCTTCCCTTGTTGAAAAAAGACTTTTTGAGATTTATGTCATTTTATGTGCACAACTGTGTGCGCGCAGGTGTGTATTTGTGCACAACTGTGTGTGTGCAGATGTCTATTGTTTTATGTGTACAACTGTGTGTGTGCAGGTGTCTGTGCAACTGTGTGTGTGCAGGTGTCAATTTGTGTGTAACTGTGTGTGTGCAGGTGTCTATTGTGCACAACTGTGTGTGTGCAGGTGTCTATTTGTGCACAACTGTGTGTGTGCAGGTGTCTATTGTGCACAACTGTGTGTGTGCAGGTGTCTATTTGTGCACAACTGTGTGTGTGCAGGTGTCTATTGTGTACAACTGTGTGTGCGCAGGGGTCTATTTGTGTACAACTGTGTGTGTGTGCAGGTGTCTATTTGTGTGTAACTGTGTGTGTGCAGGTGTCTATTGTGTACAACTGTGTGTGCAGGTGTCTATTGTGCACAACTGTGTGTGTGCAGGTGTCTATTTGTGCACATCTGTGTGTGTGCAGGTGTCTATTGTGCACAACTGTGTGTGTGCGCAGGTGTCTATTGTGCACAACTGTGTGTGTGCAGGTGTCTATTGTGCACAACTGTGTGTGTGCAGGTATCTATTGTGCACAACTGTGTCTGCCGGTGTCCATTTGCTCCACAGGTGCCACCAGTGTGGGGAGGGACTCCTGGGGCTGGCCGGCCGGCCTACTCAGGCCAACAAATATGAGACCCTAGTCAAAAAACAAGGCAGATAACTCCCGAGAAGAACGCCCACCTACACACACACACACACACACACACACACACACACACACACACACCATCTGCTAGAGATACATATAAAATATTAAAGAAAAGAATGTTTGAGACTTCCTTTAAACATTCCAGAGTGAAACTGGGGAATTGGCTTCTTGCTCAAATTTGAAGACCTAAGCTTGGGTCTGCAATACCCACATAAAAAGCCAGGGGGGATTGTGCCAGTAACCCTAGTGCCAGGAGTGTGGAGATAGACAGATCCCTAGAGCTCACTGGCCAGACTAGTCTAGCTGAATCTGTGAGTTCTGGGTTCAGTCAGAGTCCCTGTCTCAAAAAAATGAAGTGGAGAATGACTGAGGAAGGCACCTGACATCCAACACCAGCCTCCACACACCTGCAGGCACACACACACACACACCCTCGTACGCATGCACGCACGCGCACACACCCCTGCAGGCACACACACACACACCCCTGCAGGCACACACACACACACCCCTGCAGGCACACACACATGCACACACACACCACTGCAGGCGCAGGCACACACACACACACACACACACACACACACACACACACACACACACTGGGTGAGGTAGTAAAAGATGAAATAAGAACAAATACATTGGCTATGAGAAATAAATGATGTGCCAGGTCTGTCTGCCCAGTGAGTCCCAGGGCAGCCAGGGCTACACTGAGAAACCCTGTCTCGCCACCTCCCCAAAAAGAAAGAAAGAAATGATGTGTTAGGATTATGTAGTATTCTATTTTTATGTATATTTTGAAACTTTCCAATAAAAGAATTTTTAAAAAGCAAGGTTGCCAAAATTTATGAACTTCTTTTGAGTTAAAATTTATACATGCAAACACATTCACAAAATGTCTAGAAGGCAATACTAATCTATCAATTACTTCTATTATTTTGAGGACTAAGAAATTTGAACTTTTATATTCTTATCCTATTTGCCTGTTATTACTTTTTTTTCTTTTTTAACCAAAATAAGGCTGTTTATTTCAATCTCAAAGCACAGTCATTCAATTAGTTCCCTTCCCTCTGAGGCAGTCTTTAGGTACCACTAGATCTTCAGAGCCATTTCCCCTGCCCCACCCTGAGAGACGGCCAAGTCCCCAGGTGATCCTATTTTCTCTTGCTATGCTTTGTCATGTCCTTTCAAAACTGTCCCCTCCTCTTGCCACCCTGTCTCCTCCAGCACCCCACTTCCCCAGTCCCGCCCTCTCTCCTCCAGCACCCCACTTCCCCAGTCCCGCCCTGTCTACTCCAGCACCCCACTTCCCCAGTCCCGCCCTCTCTCCTCCAGCACCCCACTTCCCCAGTCCCGCCCTGTCTCCTCCAGCACCCCACTTCCCCAGTCCCCTCTCCTCCAGCACCCCACTTCCCCAGTCCTCTCTCCCCTCTCTCCTCCAGCACCCCACTTCCCCAGTCCTCTCTCCCCTCTCTCCTCCAGCACCCCACTTCCCCGGTCCCGCCCTGTCTCCTCCAGCACCCTACTTCCCCAGTCCTCTCTCCCCTCTCTCCTCCAGCACCCCACTTCCCCGGTCCCGCCCTGTCTCCTCCAGCACCCCACTTCCCCAGTCCCCTCTCCTCCAGCACCCCACTTCCCCAGTCACGCCCTCTCTCCTCCAGCACCCCACTTCCCCAGTCCCCTCTCCTCCAGCACCCCACTTCCCCAGTCCCCTCTCCTCCAGCACCCCACTTCCCCAGTCCTCTCTCCCCTCTCCTCCAGCACCCCACTTCCCCAGTCCTCTCTCCCCTCTCTTTCTCCCCTCTCCTTCAGAAGTCTCCCCGTCTCTCCTCTTTCAGTCTTGTTCTTCTCCCTGGGTTCTCAGTCTTTACTTCTGTTAGTGTCCCTGTACCCTGGCTTCTGAGAACCCCCCTGCCCTGGCTCTGTCCTTGTCTTGTCTTGTTGAATCCTGTCTATGCCTCTCCTCACACATTTCTTCTCCAGAGCAATGTCCTTTCGATGTGCTCTGGCCATTAGCACTCCCCACAGGTGTGGCTCTAGGATCTCAAGAGACCATGGCCAGCATCCCCTAGGATGTAGAGGAGGTCCTTTGATGACTCAGGTGATTAGAGGCTGGAGTGGCCCACTGGGTGTGAGCCCTGTTATCTTTGTGATCAAAGAATATGTTTCTGCCCTCCGTGTGGACGGTAGCAGGCAGAGGTGCACAGGGTCAGGGTTCCTGGGATCTCCCCCAGCAATCTCTGAGTAGGTCCATGTGGAACAAGGCTGCCCCTTGAGGAGATTGTGCAGCAGAGGTGTCTGCAGGGCAGGCACCTGCACCTGGCAGCATGGATTGAGCAGCTGCAGTGTGTCAGGGCCCCATCCAGGAAGAAGTCTGAGATGCCATCCTTAAGGGCAAAGCCCGCTCCAGTCCAGGGGAAACCTCCGGTCCCATGCTGCCTGGCGAAAGCCAGCTTCTCCACCACTAGGTCTGCCAGCTCTGGCCCACAGGCTGCTCGGAACTTGGCTAGTGGCTTGCAGTCCACCTCCTCATCTCTGGGGGGGGGGGGCAAAGTTTCTTTGGTTCCCCTGGGCCTTCTTCACCTCCTCTTTTTACAATCTCCCCTGTGGCCAGGGACTCGACCCTTGTCATTGCCCGTTCTGGATTGCCTTCCAACACAGTCCTCACAGGAGCGGGGCATGGTACACCATTTCTCAGCCCTGGGCCCCCAAATTCCATCTGCTGTCCTTCATTCTTGGAACCAATAGTTGGGTCCCCTTTGTCTCCATTTGCTATGCCTGTAGCTCTTGCATC